CGTTCTTTGATCTATTTTCTGTTGCTTTTGGATGTGGCTGCACTTGTATTTTACTTATCATGCATGTTTTACATGCCGGCTTCTGAGAAAAATTCACTTCATCCATCCATGTACCAACAATTTATTTCGAAGTTCTGCCAAACTCGAATAATTCAGGTGCCCATACCTATTATGCCAAAGTATTGCATTACTCTGAATGATACTGAAATAGCTGATGCGTTTATTTTCGAAGATAAACAAGTTGTTTATTATTTTCAATCGTAGAATCTCAACACCATGCTTTTTCACCATAGCTTGCTTGTTTGTGAAACTGACATCGCATCCCATTTCAACAACACGACCGACCGAGATAAAATTTCCCCTCATACGTGGAACGTGATCAACTCAGAATGTTCCACAAAGTTCGAGAACATGTTGCGATCGTAACACATGTGTGCTGTTGCGCCACAGTTCAAACACCATTTCATTCTGTTAAACATGTTGCAGCCCGATGTTGCTAACACAGTAAATGAATACTGTTTCTGTTGCTTCAACTTGTCATTTTGTTGCTCGCTCCCCTTAGCAACACAATTTGCCTTTATGTGCCCACGCTGTCCACTATGAAAGCAAATGACATTTTTGACTGTTTGCCTGCAAATTTTTTTTTTGCTGCCCTGTGCCGACTTCGCTGCAAATGCCTGCTGAACGCTACCTTCAACTTTTGTGACTGCGTCGCCCATGTTGACTCTACGTTCGCTTTCTTCGAGAAGAAGACTATCTCGCGTTTTGACAAAGTTTTCAAACTCTTTCGGAAGACTCGATAGTAATAATATGGCAATAAGCTCATCATTGAGCGAAATGCCCACTTCAGCCAACTTATCTTTGGCCGTGGTAAACGCATTTAAGTACACTGCTACTTTTTCACCTTCAAGCAATTTGAGGTTAAGAAGCCTCTTATACAATGATACCTTTCATAAGGGGGCCGCTTGGCTGGTACACTTCCCTAAGCCTTTCCCATGCATCTGCTGCCGTCTTATAGTTCTTCAAATAATTTAATTGTGAGGGCTTTACACTGAGTGTAATCATCGCAAGTGCCTTCTCATCCTGCGCCGTCCACTTCGCCACAGCCTCATCRTCGGTGCCTGCTTCTGCCTTTGGGGACTCGCCCGATGCAAGTTTCCATAGCTCTGCATATACCAATACACTTCGCATTTGGATACTCCAAGAATCAAAATTATTCTCATCCAATTTCTCTATTTGGTACATAGCACTCATCTTGCTAATTTATAACTTTACTTTGTTCACCGTTACTTATAGCGAGGCCTGGGCCCATAACCCATTTATATTGGAACCGGTGTCAACCAGTATTTTAATAATTATCTGCTTATTATTTTGTGTAGATTTTAAATGAAACGCGCAGCCGTAGTATTCGTCTTAACGATTGAAYAGTTTATTGAGAAGTAACAAAATGRAATCGGGAACAATATATTGCATGTAATTATGCACGAATTCGAAATTGAACATATGCATTGTCATTAGCARGGTTGCTTTTTCAAGTAACATTTCAACATTTTGCATTCAAATATGGTAGTGAGGAGTCAATTATTCTAAACAATTAAGGCAAAAGTAATCGTGTCTAAGAAGTCCCCTACCATAATTGTTGGAAAGTCAGCGGAGTCCCACAGAGTAGCTAATTATGCTCTCGCTACAAAGTTGCTAAAGAGAGTATTATAGTTTTGTTCACATAACGGTTGTTTGTAAGTCCTAAAACTAACAGAGTTAGATGTAGGGTTATATATACCAAAGTGATCAGGATGACGAGTAGAGTTGAAATCCGCATGTCTGTCTGTCCGTCCGTCCGTTTGAGCTGTAACTTGAGTAAAAATTTAGATATCATGATGAAACTTGGTACACGTATTTCTTGGCTCCATAAGAAGGTTAAGTTCGAAGATGGGCAAAATCGCCCCACGACCACGCCCACATAATGGCGAAAACCGAAAAAATATAAAGTGTCATAACTAAGCCATAAATAAAGATATTAAAATGAAATTTAGCAYAAAKRATCGCATTAGGGAGGGGCATATTTGGACCTAATTTTTTTATAAAAGTGGGCGTAGCCCCGCCCCCTACTAAGTTTTTTGTACATATCTTGGAAACTACTATAGCTATGTCAACCGAACTCTACAGAGTTATTTCATTCAGGCATTTCCATATACAGTTCAAAAATGGAAGAAATCGGATAATAACCACGCCCACCTCCCATACAAAGATTATGTTGCAAATCACTAAAAGGGCGTTAACCGACTAAGATAAAACGTTAGAAACACTAAATTTTACGGAAGAAATGTCAGAAGGAAGCTGCATCCATTTTTTTTTTAAATTGAAAATGGGCGTGGCGTCGCCCACTTATGGACCAAAAACCATATTTCAGGAAGTACTCAACCGATTTCAATGAAATTCGGTATATAATATTTTCTTAGCACCCTGATGACATGTACGAAATATGGGTGAAATCGGTTCGCAACCACGCCTTCTTCCAATACAACGCTATTTTGAATTCCTGTATAATATATACATTAGGAACCAATGATAATAGCGGAATAAAACTTTACAAAAATACGGTATTTGATGCGAGAGTATAAAATGTTCGGCGACACCCGAACTTAGCCCTTCCTTACTTGTTTTACTTGAAATTTCGTACTAATCGAACTTAATCGRATTTCTTTGCGCTGGTACCTGTTTAACTGTTTTTGCTTTACTTATATAATTATTTATTTACATTGCTAGATTCTGRSAGCAGATGTTTGTTTTAWTAAATTTGTAGCCCAGGGTAGATAATTTTGAAAACAAAAAAACCTTAGTGTTCAAACCTAATTSCAGCGTCTGCTCACCAGAGATGCGACGCGATATATTAATTTATATAAAGTTTATACTACTCGCTTAGCGAGGTTGTGCCCTGGGTTTGGGACCCGCCATATAGAAACCACTCCCAATGAAAACAAAGCAACAGTTTCGGGTGAAAGACTTTGATGACGCCCATAGGCGGCCATATAAAGGAGAACAAATTCGGTGTGGCATTCGCGGTGGATGTGTATCTAGCCACGTCATTTCAAGCTCCTTACGTATAGCTGCAAGCGARAAGATTAATTTTTGGAAGGGTCGAAAGAACAGCTGGTACGATAAGGACTGCCGTGTCGCAGCACGGAGAACCCAGACAGCTTACCTCGCAACTATGCGATCGACCTCATCTGATCGTATTAGAGTCAGATAAGCCTTCTTAAAATCGCATATAAGGTCTTACGAAGGGTGGTGTGTGAAAGACTGAAGCACACCATCAAGAAACTGATTGGACCTTATCAGTATGTTAAAACTTCTGCTGTAGAAAATATTACGAGCTAAAGATTTCGGCGAAACTACCGAGTCCTATAATAAAAAATTTTACATCAACATCTTATGATCAATACTTTTGTGAAAACTTCTATAACCAAGTTTTGGGTTTATTTTATCTTGTCCAATCATTTTGTTTCTTTCACGAAATTTGGTGTAAACTTACCTTCTTAGGCCACACAAATATTGTAATTCTGTAATATATATTATTTATATTTTCTTYTAACTTTGACTTAATATCGAAAAAAATATCAATTTTCAATAAAAAATTGTAACGTATGCTTTTTTTTTATATAAACGGTAAGTTTTTTGTATGAAAAAATCTCAACTTCTTGATGATTTCCAAATTATGTATATACATTACTATCGTAAGGTTTTTCAAAAAAAAAAAAAAGAACCGCACTAAAGGTCGGTTTTTTTATTGCTAATACTATGAATTAATAGGTAGATGAAATAAAATAGCTTTGGATTGTTTGGTAAGGTGTTTTTGGGTTTTTTTTTTTTGAGAAAATTTACCAAACTAATGAAATATTTTTTATACCAACAGAAAGTAAAGATTTCAACATATATAAGGCTTACTGGCGTTACGTTTGACGTGATAATTTTTGTTCGAAAATTGTGTCTTTTTTCGATTTCAGCTGGAAGTAAGGTTACTACCTTAATATTTTAAATAGAAAATATGGAGTATTTGGGAGATAAGACGGTAATTTTATGTCAAATTTCGTTAATGAAACCTCGTTTTTGTACAAAATAGAAATACAAATTTCACAAACTTTAGTGTTTAAATTTCTCACACAAATTTCGATTTTATTTAAAAAAGGTGTTAATATAAAAATTGTAAATTACTTTTCATTACTCAAAACATTGACATACTATATAACTTTTTCTATAGGGGTCGTAGCTTTGCCAGAAATAATGATAAAGTGTTTTTTCCTTTTATTGATGTATTTCTTACACTTTTAACCATTTTCAAAGGCTTTCTGCACTAATCTATTAATAATAATGCATAAAATATTGCTACATCTTTGCGATGAATATTGTTATGTTGACGTAAATATTGGGTTTTAGTAATTGGAAACAAAAACTCAAGTACACTTCCGTAATATCAAACGCTGATGCAGCCAGTCCCATACTATAACCTAAATATATCAAAATAGTGATTTCCGACGTTGTATTGTTAAGATATATGGGATTTGGAGATGCATGAAAATGAAAATTTGTCAGGGCCTTGATWTTAACTCTATATCTCTTATATAATGATTTCCGATTGACTATTTCTATACATACTCAATATATCTATCAAATTTTACCACTTTGATTGAGTTTAAATCGCCATTATCTCATTTAAGTTAAGATACTTAGATTTGGTTGTAATCTATTCACAAATTTCTTCGAATAATGGATGTTGAATTTAAACATTTTGAATTTTCCCGGAAGATTTATTAATGTAATGTTATATATTTCTTGATCACACAAATTTTTTTCCATAAACGAGAATATTTTCCCCTTTTGAACTTAGCAAATTAAAAAATAGTAAATTTTCGCCGACAAGAATACAGAGTTAAAATTTGAATTTATCGTTTTATGAACGTATTTGTAAATGCCCTAATAAATATTTTTTTTTTTAATTTCAGCTTTGGTTGGCTCATTGACCATTGGTACCACCTTTTTATTCTCACCAGTTGCAGGTGTCTTGACAGACAAAATTGGATTACGATTGACAACATTAATTGGTGGCTTACTCTCCGCCACAGGTTTACTCCTCTCATCATTCTTTACGTTAAACATCCACGCTATGTATTTGACGTATGGTGTTATGTTTGGTCTGGGTGCCGCATTGGCCTACACTCCAACATTGGCAATTTTGGGGCATTATTTTAAACGATATTTAGGAAAAGTAAGTGGATTTGTTACAGCCGGCTCCAGTGTATTCACAGTAATATTACCGTCAAGCTTGGACTATTTGTTACGAGATTATGGTTTGGAAACTATGCTGCAAGTTATGAGTTTGGTGTCATGCTTCATAATTGCTTGTTCCTTCGTTTATAAACCTTTACATCCTCCGCCATGTCCGCCGCAAAAAAAGCCTGGTCGTTCACGCATTAATATGATTATTCGCTCCATTATCAACGTAGACATCTGGAAACGCAAGAAATATGTGATATGGGCGCTTTGTGTCCCCATAGCTTTGTTCGGCTATTTTGTGCCCTATGTGCATATGATGAAGTTCGTGCAGRAAACTTTTCCTGGAAAAAGCAAAAATCTGCCTGTGATGTGTATTGGCGTTACATCCGGCATAGGCCGATTGATATTCGGAATTATTGCCGATCTGCCGAGAGTTAACCGTATATATTTGCAACAGTTATCGTTAGCGTGCATTGGTGTGATAACGTTATTGTTGCCATTAACCAGCTCATATGTATTACTAATTGCTTTCACATTAATAATGGGTTTATTTGATGGCTGCTTTATTTCTCTTCTAGGTCCCATAGCGTATGAGTTATGTGGACCTTCTGGTGCAACGCAAGCCATTGGCTTTTTATTAGGACTAAGTTCGTTTCCTTTAACAATGGGACCACCCATTGCAGGGTGGATCTATGATCAAACCGGCTCATATACTTTGCCCCTTCTTTTGGCTGGAATACCGCCCATATTGGGTTCAACAATTATGTTCCTAATACGATGTGTTCCGAATGACAGTGATTATGAAGCGAATGTGTTAAGCAAGCCGAAAGCAGAGAATGGAATGATACTAAACGCCAATTGGAAAAATGCAGGTAAATATATTTCATTATAAATTAATACTGAAAAGATATTAACTTAAGCTTGCAGTTTTATTAYTTTAATTAAAATTTTTTCTTTTGAATTTTATAACTCAATAAAAAAAAAATTCCGCGGAACTGTGAGTTTTGCAATTTTGTAATTTAAAATCAATTTTTATCATTGAGTTATAAAATTCATAAGAAAAACAATTTGCCGCAAAATAATCAAACTCCATCCATTAATATCTTTTAAGCGTTTAGGTTTACGAAAGAATCGTAAGAGACCATTTACGAAATCTATAAAACGAATTTCTTTTAATAATTTTTTGAAGTACGGGRGAGATTTATGAAAAGGTGTCTACGAACCTACTTTTCAGAGTACCAAGCGAAAAAAAAGATTCGTGTTCTTACCCACCCACACGCTTAAAATTTTTGCTATTCCTTTACGAAAGAATTTCTTTATTAACTGATTTTAAGTAAAATAACAAAGTAGTTTTTAAAATACGAGCTTTTAAACTGGCCACAAGTTTTTCTTCGAAKTTTTGGTGCTCACGCATTGTAAATATATTTAGCAAGTAAGATTTCATGCAATTTAGAAGAAAAGAATCATGTTTACTTACCTTAACAAACAAATAGTAAAATTTTGGCAATATTTTTATTTCCATAGTTCAATCAAAGACTGAATAATGGGTAGTAAACTAATAGCACTAATTTATTCTATAAAATCAATAAAATATAACCAATATATCAACGCCTGTGTGGTTTCGTTTTAGTTTCTTCTAATAACTAACTTTATGACAACTTTGTTCTTTACTAAATCAGAAATATTAGAAAACGAGAAATGCATTAAAAAAAATTGCGCTACTTCAGAAATATGTATGTAAATACATGTGTCATATATTTTATATTTGGATTATGTGTCATTTGTATGCTTTGCTATATACATATGTAATAAGATAATGAACAATCTATTCAATTCTTTTAGAGCAAAATTTCAATGCGCCGTTGTTGAGAGGATCTGAGGAAACAAAATGTGCTGACAGGAGATGCGTATTGGCAGACTCTATTCGCAAAACGAATTCCTCTGAGTCAGGTATTAGTCGATATTTTATGGCCGGTAAACTTTCGGTAACTTTAGAAAAACGTAGAATTATAACTGCTTGTGTTCATGATGCTCCCAGTAGTGAAATAACTAGTCATCACATTTGCTCAAAAACTGCTTTGCTTGATACGCGTTGCATGTCAATATCGGTTGCGGATGACGAAGACTTGACAACTGACGAAGCTTGTTCATCAACAGTCGAGCGCTCTTACGAGTACGTCACGCAAAAACGCCGTTATGCATATTCGATTTATTAACTTTTGTATATTCATTTATATATGTATGTATGCAATCGTATATATTTATTTATTGTTTTTAATTAAACCAATTTAAATGAATTAGAAGTAACATTCAAATGCATTTGGAGTCTACGTTTCATACATATAGTATACACATATAAACCGATTAGTATTTACTTGTATTACATATTTATGTATATATGTAAATGCCCATGTGCAATAGGGTGTTTCTTAAAAAATAGAATGAACTGTTTTTTAGTTTAACCGACTCAATTYGCAACTCCACAAAATAAGATATTAGCAAACAAATAAGGTGCGCTAAGTTCGGGTGTAACCGAACATTTCATACCCTTTCATACTTTCAAAGGCTAGTTCTCATCTGATTTTATCTATTTTACAAGGATACACTGTTATTAGAAATATACGCTCGATCAGTTCTTTTAAAGTAACTCCAACATTGGCCGATACATGTACATATCACGTATAAAGTCAACTGAAAGTTTTGTCCACTAGTGCCTGTTTATATCTTAATTAAGTATTTAGTAAAGTTATTTTATAGATTTTTGATTAATAACATTTTGTGGACGCGGCAATGATCCGTTTATTCTTTTGTGCCAAGGAACACGTGTATCAAGTTTCATTAAGTTTCTAAGTGTTTGCAAAGGCGCACATAGGAGCATTTRGTCTCAAAAACCGCACACAATTATTTCAAATGATTTTATGAATGAAAATTAATAAAAATGCATGATTAAATATAATAATGCAATATATTAAAATAAAACAAGTAAGGAAGGACTACGTTCAGGTGTAACCGATTATTTTATATTGATATATTTGAGAAGGAGGTAGTGCCAACCAGATTTTATCTATTTTTGCTCATACCACATACTACTAATATGTCACATACTTAAAAAAAAGTTTTRTTTCATTTATGTACCTTACATAAAATGAGCAATCATATGGAGCAAGGTCAAGTGGATATCCAAAAATCTTGGTGATAGTTATATATGTAGGTGGGTGGGTTGTGTTGAAGGGTTTTTTAAGTCTCCTCTATTTCACGGACTGACTGACGCCTAATCTGTTCTAAATGTCTCARTTTTGYCATAATTACATTTGCCGCTTCGCTGACAGCTTTCCACTTTACAAAGGACTCGCACATAAGTGCTGTCAAATTTTCCACCGTAATACTACCTCCAAGGATGGTTTTCAGCTTTTCCCTTATACCTGAAAACCGAGGACAATAAAAGAACACATGTTCAGAGTCTTCTATACACTCTGTACACGTCGGACAGTATTGACTAAAGTCATGACGATACTTGAATAGGTAGCTTCTGAAGCAACCATGACCACTGAGTATTTTGGTAAGGTGGAAATCCAGGTCTCCATCTTGTCTACCTATCYACAAATGTATGTCCGAAATGAAGTTTGCCACCGTTGCTGCCACATTGCAATGCTTTTTCTTCTCGCTTCTCTTTTTGCTGTGGTAGACGTCTCTGATAGGTTATATATTCGAGCGAATTCGTCTCCCTGGATGTCAATAGGCGCCATACTGGCTAATACCTCAGCAGCGTCACTTGAAATGGTTCGAAAAGCACTTATCACCCGTATTGCTGAAAGCCTATGTACTGTGTTAATTCTGTCTCTTATACACATCTCGGAAAGCACTTATCACCCGTATTGCTGAAAGCCTATGTACTGTGTTAATTGGYCTAGCATATGATTTTGTTTCTAGCGCYTGTATCCATATTGGAGCCGCATACAGGATCACTGAGCTTATTGCCTTGGCTATTAAACATCGTCGGCTGGAACGCATACAGCCTTTATTTGCCATCATTCGAGATAACGCATTAYATATTTTATTTGCTTTACTTGTCGCATTTTCCAAGTGGTCCTTGAGCTTTAGTCTTGAGTCCACTGTTACCCCAAGATACTTCAGCAGCGGCTGTGAAGTAATCTCACATTCTCCTATGGTCAGTGATATTTTCTCCTCAATTTTCCTTGAGCTTATGAGCAGGACTTCTGTTTTCCGCTCAGCCAGCTCTAGACTCATGGTAGCAAACCATCGGCGCAGACCATTTATGCTGTCATTGCATTTGATACGGAGGTCATCCAGATGTTCAGCTACAGCTACCACTATGAGATCATCCGCATAAGCGATTGTTTTCACATTTTTTGGTTGCGGTATTCTTAACACCCCGTCGTACATAAGATTCCATAGCAGCGGGCCTAAAACCGAGCCTTGCGGTACTCCTCTGGAGATAGTGTAGCTCTGAGTGCCCTCGTCCGTCTCGTATAGCAATCTCCTATTTTGAAAATAACTCATTATAATATTTATCAGATAATGAGGAGCGTGTATATCGTGTAGAGCTTTTATTATATTTGCCCACTTTGCGGAGTTGAACGCATTCTTCACATCCAGAGTTATTAGCGCGCAGTATTTTGTCCTATCACCTTTCCATCTTTTTCCATTTATTGCATATTTTGCAGTATCAACTACTTCTCTTAGTGCGTCAATAGTGGACCTCTTTTTAATAAAGCCGTATTGTCTCTCTGATAATYSGCCGGCTTTTTGGATTGCTAACTCCAAGCGGTTTCTTACAATGCTTTCGTACACTTTCCCAATTGTGTTGCATGCTCGATAARGTCGATAAGATGAAGGTTCTTCTGGTGTCTTATTTGGCTTTGGCAGTAGAACCATACGCTGTATCTTCCACGGATCGGGGAATACCTCTTCTAATATACACGCATTGTACATGTTAACAAATACTCTGGGCCTTAGAGTTATTTCTTCTTTAAGGGCTCTATTTGGTATACTATCTATTCCTGGCGCTTTGGAGTTTTTGATTTTTTTCACAATATCCAATA